AATTTCCACACTAATATGTGTATACTACTAATAATATAATAGACCTTAACTAAGCAAATTTAGCTTCTTTCGTAGACCCCTCCGATCGTTGTGCACTATTAAAATGTATTTGTATTTGAGATTTAAAGTTATTTACCTTCAGGGTTACAGGTTTCGAGCAATAGGTCCGGCCAGTTACATCCGTGAATTTTTTCATCATAGACCAAGCCAGGTTCACAGGCTTGAGGATGAGGCTCTCCATAAGCACACTTAATGTAATTAGTTGAACATTCATGGGAGTCTGGGTAGATACCGAACTGATATTCGCATCCGGGGGTGCTGATTGGAGTTACTAAAAAAATAATTTACAATTATATTAAAAGTAAAGACCCTTATCCCATAATGATACAATTTGGTAGTGGTATCGCAAGATTCTCAGTGTCAAACGCTTTGGCTAGATCAAGGAGCGTAACGATTGTTGGTGTACTCGTATCAAGATTATTAAACTATTCGAATCTCCAGTAAAATGTTGTGGTTACCATTTGAAATTCTCAAGTTGGCCCCTGCCTAGCCTACAAGGCCGAAATAGGCGTTGCTTTTCTTACACGAATAAACTTTCCCCTCCCAGAGGGGAAACTTCTTATTTGAAACATTTTTTCCACCGATCACGCGTTGCGGAAATATTTAAGTGTTTCGAGAAAAAAAACCACCTTGTATATGAAGGGTACAGGCTAAGAAAGGGGAACGACAATTTTTTCTAATTTTGAGCCGTTCAGTCCGTTCGATTCTAAACACACAGAATTATCATCAAGTAACAGATATCGATAATTTAAATTACGCTGTACTGGCTAAAAAGGAGGCGAGTCCGCCCGCCACATGCTAAGAAGGCGGAACGTCATAAATGCGTGTTATTCTTAGAAGCGGCTAATTGTAGCCCCTTTGGAATACAACGTTGCCAGTCTCTAATGTTATGTCAGATGTCAAATCATAAACAGGTGAGGTTAGAACTGTTAAAAGTGGGAAGTGAAGTAGTGGGGTGTACTTCTTTACCCACATTTCTAGACCATGCCTTAGAATTTATTTTTCTCTTTCTCGTTTTTTCGTCCACTGCACTTATGCTTCTTTCCTTCCCTTTTTTCTGATAAGTGCTTGGCACTTCATTGTTAATGGGTTCTATTTCGGCGCTTGACCCTGCATTGCTGATTGTTTCTATTTCGGGAGTCTTTATTGCAATGTTGTTCCATTTAATGTTTCCTGAATTTCAATCCTTGTGTGGGGTTGTTAGTCCTCCTACACTCCTACACCCTACCATACAACCAGTCGAAGTACCGTATGAAGCAGTGGATCGTTTGCGCATCTTTCATCTTGTATAATACAACAAGCAAAGGAAAAAGATATCGAGATTCCTAATTAGAGTATCTTTGCTTTCGTTCGTTGTTATATATAAATTTTGGAACCGAAATAAACCGAAAAAAAAACCGGAACCGGAACGGAACCGAAATGGAAATTATTTTCTAAACCGTAACCGTAAAGGAACCGAAATTTTAAATTTTGCCTTGGACCGAAACCGGAACGGAATAGTTATTTCGTTTTGGTTCGGGTCCTTGGTATTTAGGCAGTATACTGTTTTTACAATTCTTGAAGGATTCTGCTCGGAAAATATTTATCAAAAATTAAATAAATTAAATGTTATTTGGACACTTCAACGCAATTGAACGTTTTAATCTCGTTTTGTAACGTTCGTTTTTCGTGTCTCGTAACTCTGGTGATTTCGACGAAAACACATTTTGTTTGAGTGCCTGACGAAAACAAAATGGTAAACTGTCTAGATAAATCATCCTTATCGTTATTTTTAAATAAAACAATAAAAGAAAAATATTTTAAATTAGGAGAAAGTGTTCGCGCTCTCTATAGCTCCACTTTAATGGCTTTCCATGGCTTTAAATAGCTTTTCATTTTATTATTTTTTAAGTATCTGTCTTATAAAGGGAAAACGACAAATTTTAATTGCATTCTTTTCACAATTTGGGTACCCTCAATACTAGCACATACAACTTATATTAGGTCTGTCACGTGTTATCTTATATATTTTGTGTCTTCTCAAATGCCACAACAGTTAATTTGTTTTTGAAGCATTAGGTGTAAAAAACACATACTCTGTTCCCTTTAATACTTACGATCAGCTTTTCTTTCTCCGCAGTGTACAGCCCAATTGTAGTTGCAGTGATTGTGAACTGCGCCCTTGCCATCAAACAGTAATCCATTTTCACAGGTTTCCACTGTCAAAGTCCCATTAGTGCAAAGGAAAAAAATATTACAAGCTTCTGGATGGGCATAAGCTTGAACACCATGTTGTTCTGGGCATTGCGGGGCGTCTTGGACAAACACGCCAGCACTAGCTGAAAAACGATATAATTTCATATTACTGCATACTTACTTTACCAATATAAAATTTAAAAAATGATAAGCAAATTACCATTTTGTTGTTGAGAGAAGTCTACGCACCTGTAGATTACAATAAATCTACTTTGTTATCACACCTAATCAACTCTTTCCGAAAGGTGGAACAATGCTTCAGTAGCAACTAGCAGGCTGTTCTACCCACTTCTAATTATGCACAAGCTGCTTTCTTGTACCATTGTTGAATACATTAACATAATTCAATACCGCGAAATAATCAATAAATTGCTTCCAATCCATTATGTCGACCATAATATTCACCATAAAAGAAATTTGATTAATTATTAAATCAAGGCATATCGAAAAAGGAATGTTCTCGAATACAAATTACCAAACTTGACTATACAGGGTGATTCAAAATTGGCGTCATTCCTCTGGAGGTGTTGTCTGGCGCCGTTATAGGAGTACAGAAAAACTAGTAAAAGAAATTAATTGTAACTAAAAACTGAGAAATTTGGAAAAAACTATATCAGAAATACGGTAGCAATGTTTTTCAAGGTCATCTGCCTAATTAACATTGCGCAAATACCTGTTGCTTCGTAATTATTTAAAACTCCGGTAACCTTGGATAAATAGAGAGTGACAATAAGATAGACAAGGATAAACGGTAAATTCAACAGGAACCGCTGAATGACGGAACCTATTTCGAAATGTCAACCTGTTCTCATAACCTCGAATTCGGCGGGGTTTGGTGTTTACAAGTAATCCATACAACGCCAAACATTGTCCTCCACTATCTTCCTGGAACCACTCTCCTCGCCCTTTGTTGGCGTGAGTTCTTTCAGCTTCTGCTATGTTACTGTAGCATTTCCCCTGAACTAATCGCATATCCGCAAATTTGTGAAAGGAAATTCAATGTAAGTCACAGTTTGACAAATTATTGTTATTATTGACAAGGGCTATCCACCTGTAACTATCTGTTAATGGCAAAAAACGTCATTGCCGCTTTGACTTTCCATCAAAAAGTTGTAGAACAGAACTTTTTCAATATCGAAAATTTTCGTAATTTGATCAAAGATCGTAATTTTTCTTTTTGAATGCTTAAGTACTCCAATATGCTACCAATTAAATATGGAACAATTTCAAAATAATGCTTAATAGCCAAGTTGAAATTCGATCTTCAACTGTTAATATCTTCTAGAAATTTAGGAAAATTTTTTTTTTATATTTTTCTCGTACTCTCCAAGTGAGCCTTCATCACAGCCACATCAATTTTGAATCACCCTGTATATATTTTTACCAAATGTTAGCTAAAGCTTTCACAATACTTTCCACCTTGAATGCAGGTTCTTCCTGGTTGAAGTTGAACTTTCATCTTTAGAAGAGCGAAATGGCAAAATATTGTTAACAAATTAATTTTATTAACTGGCTATGAAAATAAACTCAGAGTCAAGCTATAACTAACATACATGTTTTCATTGAAGATTTATCCTTATTTAACGAATCAGTAATTTAGTTAAAAATCTACCAGCAATTTTATTCCATTGAATCTTAGAGTTTACGCGATTAAATTGTGCTAAAAAATATCCTTTTTTGTGATATGAGCGCGATTAAAATAAATTTTGAGAACAAACTTGCCCCGTTTGGAGATACTGGAATGTTCATAAGGTTCGCATAAAACCACTCTTACTGGTACCGGTTTCCAATATTGCATCAACTTTTTCTTGGTTATTACCCGATAAATTGCAAACCACAAAAGAGTATCAGTCAGTTGCAGATAGCGAAAAAATTAAAACACACCACTTAACATGAATGTTATGTAAGACCACTTTCGATAAGTCCATGTTTCAACGTCTATGTGCACTGGTTCCTCAATATGCAGCTGTTGTGGTAAATCGCGGAATTCAAATACTTAGTAGACAAACAATGCAAGCAAGTACTTAATTAGATATTAATATGCGACGCCAGTTTTCTAGTACTTACCAATGCCGAAAATGACGAAAGAAACCACTATCACTCTTGCTACCATATCGCAAACTGTGCTCCGTTGCCTTGGAAACAGAAAATTGGAGACACTTTCTACCACTTATACAAGAACAACTAAATACAACAGTAACACACGGTCAACATACACCGCACAAGATTTTCTGTTAAGATTTGCTAAGTCCTGTGAATGTCGACCCGCCATTCACCAAAGAGAGCTCAGCTAAAATACGGGGGATTGTTTAAACGTTGCCACACTTACCAACTCGAAATTTTTCGATGGTATCTAAATTAAGGTTGAACATTTACTAACTATGTCACTGTGCTTGATTGGTATTCGTTAACAGTTTCTTTCACTTTTCATATCTTCACTTTCAAGAAATCGTTGCTTCATAGTTATTATTTGCTCCAAAAATCCAAAACCAAATTTTGTTCAAAGATGTACGTAAAGAAGAGTCAGTACGCGCAAATTCTGTTTTCTATTGATACTAATATGGATCCTAAAATCATTAATTAAAACTAGTTACAAAATAAAATGTGTGGCACAAGTAGCATTTGCAATATATCGGTTTAGTAACGAATACTCTAAATTTGTAAATACTAGCATTGAGTGAACTTTGGCCACTCCGTTTTAACATCGAATTTGAAATATAGAAAGAAAAGTTGCAGATATTAACCTCAAGTTTATTTTAGGATAATACCAATTGATACAAGGTGTCCCAAATTCAAGTACCAAACCAAACTTATTTTTTTCCTAAATGGAATGCTGTACTTTTTATCGCATTTTCGAGATATTCGTAAAATTCTAGGCCTGTTCGATATAAACGTTCTATATTGATTCTCAACTGTTTTTGAGTTAGTAACCAATATTGATTGAGTTTTGGCCAGCACGTTTTAACATCTAATTTGAAAAATATGAAATACAAAAGTGTAATATATTAACGTCTATTTTATCGTAAGATAATACCAATAGATACAGGGTGTCTCAAACTCAAGTGGTGGTACAAAATTACATTTTTATAAATAAAATTGCGCAGTTTTTATTTCACATATTCAAACTATACACAAAGTTCCTTGGTCCAAGTCCTCTTGGATATAAATTTTCCATATTGATCTTCAACTGTTTTTGAGTTAATAACCATTTAAATATTCTGGCATTGCATTTATAAACATTTGAGTTTGGTCAGGCACTTGAAATTGAGACACCCTGTAGCAATTGTGATTATCTTAAAATAAACTAGATGTCACATCATGTCATATCTACAACTTTTGTATATATATTTATAATAATTTTGCTCTAAACTGCAAATTAGCTACAAAAACAGGGTGGCCAAAGTTCGATCAATATTGGTAATTAACTCAGAAACAGTTGAAAATCACTATAGCACATTTATATCGAATGGACCTAGCATTTTAGGAATACCTCGAGTATGGAATAAAAAGTACGGCCTTGCATTAAAAAAATTTATTTGGTCTGTCACTTGAATTTGAGACACCCTTTATCAATTGATACTATCTTACAATAAACTAGACGTTAATATCTACAACTTTTGTTTCTAAAATTTTTGTCTAGATTTCAAATTCGATGTTAAAACGGGGTGGCCAAGCTTAACAGCGTTACTTGGCTGTTATTTTCTTTTAATTTATGAAGTTAAGGATACTCACAGGGGTAGCAATAGGGTGTTTTCACTATTTTTTAATGTTGATATATAGAAAGTAGTTATGGCGAACAATATCCTGAAATATTTTTTTTGCAAAAAAAGTTTCCATAATAATTTTAAAGCGAATTTAAATTCAAATCAGATATTTTCCGCCAAAAACGTCGAATCCGTATCGTCGGTTGCCTATCCCGAGTGTGACGTGGCAGGTCATATCAACAAAGTGTCTCGAATTTATTTTGTTCTTTTTGCAGCTTTGTTTTATTATTTAAGCCATTGTGATTATTATTATTTTATTCAATATTATTATTATCTTGCATAATGGAACATAGTGTCATGGATCAGAAAATAAGTGGTTTTGTACCAGGATGCAAGAATACCTCAATAAGGGCTCCAAACAAACTCTTTCTAACCGTTTCCCATGATTATACACGTAAGAGTATTAGAGTAACTAATAATGAATTTACGGATTTTTACTTACAATGCTGCTTTGACACCCTTAAATTCGGCTGAATTAAAGAGTTAAATAAAATAAAAAAATGTACACATGGTAAATTGTTTGTTGACGCTTTAAAGAATCCTTCTGAAGCCAATTTTTAGTTTAACACAAACTATAAATTATTTAAATCACAAAGTAATTAATGAAACACAACCACACAACTAAACACTATGCACAGAACGTAAACAATCCGCTATTTATATGACCAGAGACGTCACAACCAATAGGATTGCGTTTTCAAGATTCATGAGTAATTTGAATTTTAGTTGAATTTGTTTATTAAATATTTAACAAAATAGCATGTATAGCTACAAGTCTTAAGCGAAACCAAGATTTGGACTTGCGGGAACAGTAATATGTGTAATTGAAATATGGTGCATATTCTCATATGATAAAGTGGTTCAAAAAAAATATTGCCAGATAATATTTTATCTGTTTCAGTAATTAAATTAAATCATTAAATGTTAAAATTTAAAAAAACTTTAGTACCCCGGATATCAAATCGTGGAAACAAGATGTTCTTGCGCAAGAAAGTGATGTATTTACAACATACATTCTAATGACAATGATAATAAGGCAAATAAAAACAATTTAAAAATTTACCGTATTTGAAAATGTTTGTGGCAGTTGCCAGAAAAACGCTTAATAATTATCGCCCCAGTGGACTCTTATACCAACACGCTCTATGTACTTTATTGGGATTTTCTTCACATAAGCGCGGACGTGTACTGAACAGCCCTGGTATCTCCGATATGCATACTAAATCGGCTAATAACGGTGATCTAGATTTAATAGCAAATTTCGAAAAAAAAAATATTTAATAGATTGGGTAATATAAACTGGTTTACTGAACACATTCAGAACGTTCTTGCAATAGTTGAACCATATATAATTGTTAAGGCTAAATATGCTAAAGAACAAGAGGAAGTAGGAGCAGTTTTTAAATAAAAAAATTRATTATCTCATGTTTGTGATCCATTAGATGTATATGTACTATTTAATGAAAATATAACTAATATTTTTGCGWGCATATTGCGTATATGAAAGGAACAARTTAGACAACTTGCCAGAAAAARTAGAATAAAACAATATTCACWAAATTCCAGAAAAAARGACTATGTTAATAACTCACAAATACACAAGAACATACATTGRCCCTTCGAGTSGGACGGTTCTGTAGTTCAGAGTTGTGATTCCCGAGTGACTTCTGCAAAACCAGTCTTTATTGGCGARGGKAACCCTACTGCTGTCCTGTTCTTACAGTGATAAAATTTTTCCTCCGATTTTCCGATTTGATAATATGCAGATGGTTTTGATATACTTAACRACAACAATTCAATACACACGATTGCATTAAAAGTGACCCAATCGAATTGCCCTAGAAATTTGAAGTTATGGTAGACTTTGCATAAAAGTTAAATTKACTTTCAAACAATCTGTTAATTCCAAACACTTTAGGATGKTCTATGTTTGCATGAGTTAAGATTGATTTKTGCAGGAACCAAATTACAACTGMATATCCTCGAAAGAGCCTTGCTCACCTGAAAATGCACGTAACCGAGGTGGAAAGTGTTTCATTACTGTGGAATTAGATTAGATTAGTTAGCTTACCGAGACGCGAAGCGTCAAGGTTTATCAATTTTTTGAACTAAATTGTGGACTAATCATGGCGACCGTCGGGGAGAAGTCCGAGGCAGAGACTGTCTGACATCAAAGACGGTTTCACAAACGCAAGGGCGAAATTATCTTCAAACAATACAAAAATCAAAAAGAAAGCTTGGATGACTGGTGACATTCTTTACTTAATGAAAGAGAGACACTTGAAAAAAAGGTCGGCCGGAATACCACCGGGTTAATCGTGAAATAAAGAACAAAATTAGAATGGCAAAGGGAAACTATCTCGTAAGACGAAACACGCGACGGAAAATTTCGGAACATGGAACCTACTTAGCCTCTATAGACCTGGAGCCTCTTCACAAGCCGTTAAATAACTGGAAATACAAAATATGGACATAATAGCCGTTCAAAAAATCAAGTGGCCAGGGAGAGGAACCCAAAGAGTGGGAAATTCGGTATTGTAGTATAGCGGAAATGACCGAGGACGACACCAATTTGGGACAGGTTTTATAGTCAGGGAACCCATGGCAAAAACAATCATGGAGTTTAAACCAATAAG